CACACCTTTTCCTTTCATCATTCTAGTGGTGCCTGGATAGCCACATCCCCAGACAAGATAGCATTTACCTCTTGGCAACTATGGTGATGGTTAATTTTATGTGTCAACTTGACTTGGCTAAGAGATGCCCAAAGAGCTGATAAAACTTATCTGGGTGTATCTGTAAGGGATTTTCTAGAAGACATTAGTGTCTGAATCAGTAGGCTGAGAAAATCCACCCTCTCCAGTGTGGGCCAGCATCATCCAACCCTTGGAGGTGTTGAATAGAAAAGGCAGAGGGAGGGTGAATTCCCTTTTTCTTTTTGAGCTGGGATATCCATCTGTCTCCCCTGGCCCTCAGACATCAGAGTTCCTGGTTCTCAGGACTTTGGACTTGGACCAGGACTTACACCATTGGTTCCACCCCCACCCAATTCTCAGGGCTTCCAACTTGGACTGAATTATACCACTGGCATTCTTGGTTGTCCAGCTTGCAGAAGGCAGATCTTGGGACTTAGGCGCCTCCATAATTGCATGAGTAAATTCCATAATCAATCAATCTCTCTCTCTCTCTCTCTCTCTCTCTCTCTCTCTCTCCTCCCCACTCCCCCCACCCCAATCTCTCTCTCTCTCCCTCTTTCTTTCTCTCTCCCCTCCCCTTATTGCTTCTGTTTCTTTGGAGAACCCTGAATAATACAACCACCTAGATGTTGAATATCACACACAGATTTCTCTTTCTAAGTGAAAAGAAAAAATATCAAAAACCTTGGTTTTGTGAATTCTGAGGATATTTGGCCATACATATTTTTCCCTGATTAAAACCACCTTTTTAAATCTTAATATGACTTCCCATAGAACTGATATGCAGTAAAATTCTATCTTGGGCCAGAAAGGAACGTCTGTTCAACAAAACTCTTTGAGTCCCTTATAATGTCCACATCAAAAAGCCTCCACTGGGATTCAGGCACCCAAGATGAAACATAGTTAGAGCAGGGTATCACAGCTCATTTCGGGTCTATCCTGCAGGCCGGAGCTCCAAACTGTCCTTAGGAGCTTAAAAGTTGCATTCACTGAAGGAGAGAAGAAGCAATGTCAGGGAGATAAAGGAAAAATAAATGCGGCTATGTGTTCAAAAGACAGAGAGTATGCCTTAAATAAACAAAGAAGCCGGCAAATAAAGAAAAAGAGAAAAGAGGAAGACCCTGCTCATAGGAGTTGCCACCTCAATAAGGCATTTTCTTTCTTTCTTTTTTTTTTTTTTGAGACGGAGTCTCGCTCTGTCGCCCAGCCAGGAGTGCAGTGGCGCGATCTCGGCTCACTGCAAGCTCCGCCCCCCAGGTTCGCGCCATTCTCCTGCCTCGGCCTCCCGTGTAGCTGGGACTACAGGCGCCCACCACCACACCCGGCTAATTTTTTTTTTTTTTTTTTTTTGAGTTTTTTTAGTACAGACGGGGTTTCACCGTGTTAGTCAGGATGGTCTCGATCTCCTGACCTCGTGATCTGCCCGTCTCGGCCTCCCAAAGTGCTGGGATTACAGGCGTAAACCACTGCGCCTGGCCACTAAGGCATTTTCTAAGGGATTGTTATCCACAATTTGATGTAAAACAGCATCCAGCAGAGAGAATACTGACTAAGATCCTAGCTGGGAGATCTGCAGCAGGGACATTAGCAGCTGTCACAGAAAAACTGATGGGCAATACTTACTTGAAAGAATAAATGTTCCTGTTTCCTGGACAAGTGCAATCACTGGCCAGCCAACACCAGCACATGGTCCTCCTTGCTGCCACATCTCATCAGTGCTAAAAGCTCCATGACCCATGGGTGACTGTCAGCTTTTATTTCCATATTACTGACCCACCTGAGTGGCCACAGACCCTCTCAACTTGACTTCCAGCCGATACCATCAGCTAACAGCTGCAGCTCTCTCCCTTCAGCGAATGCCCCACTCCCTATTCTGTGATTCAAGCCTTGAGATATGGAGGTCTTCTCTGATTCCTGCTTGTATACCTGGCTATCCACAATGTGTGTTTTCCAGTATGATTTATCCTTCATCCTTTCTTAAAGAAACAGAGAAGTCAGTAGAAAGGCTGGCTTTTACCCATCTGTTCATCTCAAAATATCACCTTCAAAAATGAGAACCCTGGTCAGGCGTGGTGGCTCACGCCTGTAATCCCAGCATTTTGGGAGGCCGAGGCAGGCAGATCACAAGGTCGGGCGATCGAGACCATCCTGGCTAACACGATGAAACCCCCGTCTCTACCAAAAATACAAAAAATTAGCCAGGCGTGGTGGCACACACCTGTAATCCCAGCCACTCGGGAGGTTAAGGCAGGAGAATCGCCTGAACCCTGGAGGCAGAGGTTGCAGTGAGCCCAGATTGCGCCACTGCACTCCAGCCTGGGTGACAGGGTGAGACTGCATCTCAAAAAAAAAAAGAATGAGAACCCTATCAAATGTCAGGTAGCCCCTTACCCCAATTGTGGAATATCCACATGTGATGCTAATTAGTGATTTTTCTCTTTGAGAAAATTGGTTAACTTCTTAGATATTTAGATTCTTAGCCTCATACAGAAAAAAACCCAGCAACAACAAACAGATGAAGACTGCATCCAACTCTAAAGTGACAGGATTCATTGGGTCTGTGGTCACAAAGGATACCTTTTGGTTCTTTCCCTGAGCATCTGAGGCCAGGACTGCTGTAATATCATCCCAACCGGTCTTGTTTTTGACCTCATATTACCACAGTTTATACTGATAATTACTACCGATTAACCCTTGAAAGCTATAGCTCTAAATATATCATTCTCTGGACCCAAATTTCTGAAGGCTCCTAAGTAAGGAAACAAAAATTAGTTTTCCTAAAAATCAAACAGCCAAAACAGTGAAAAATAGTAAAGATTAGGTTCCAAAGTGTGTGTGTGTGTGTGTGTGTGTGTGTGTGTGTAAATTATAACTATCTGTAACAAATTTTAGTTTCAGCCAAATAGAAAATTTTGCAATTTTGTACACATGATTTTTACAATTTCATGTATGTGACATTCCTTTTGTAAAAAAATTGGCCTCCCCTACTATCACAACAGAAATCCAACATACCCATTAAAGTCCAACTGAAGTCATTTTGTAAGACCTCTGGAGTAGATAGATCACCAGAGCTCCATCTCCTGAACTTTGGGCTACCAATTTAATGTAATTCATCCAGTCACTTGTATATAACATTCAGTGACAGCACTGCCTTTGTGGCCTCTCTTAAACTATTGACCAACTCATATGTGTTAATCATCTATCTCCAGATGGACAGAATATTGTTATTTTATATCAACACTGTATCATGCATGGCACTTAAAAGAGATGTGGCATCTAATATTTGTTTCTTTTTAAATCACTTTGGAAGGGTACCTACAATTATAATTATCTATACAAACACATTTTAATGCAAAGGAAACCAACGCTAAATACTGTTGACCGTTAAGTTGCTGGGTTGAAGTCACAGCCCAGGCGTCCTGACTGGTCTTGTGTCATCCTCTCTGCCACAGTGACCACGGGAGGCACTCTTTGAAGTGCTGGGACCGAAAGAGTTACATATTTGGGCATCTCCTCCAGCACAATTGCAAAGATGCAGAGTTTTTACTTAGGCAGGTAAATCTGGCCCTCGTTGTGCCTCTGGCATCAGGGGGGAAAAATTAACCAACTGTCGAACAAAATATAACAACCCTGTGGATTAAATGACTAATACTCTATCTGAGCTGGTCAGGCTTTGCCTCTGTTAACTGCACCATCCTGGACGAAATGCACTGTGGCTTGACTCCAGAAACAAAATTGTACATTCTGCTGAAAGGGTAGCCAGGCTGCTCAAGAGGAAAAAAAAAAAAAATGAATTGTAAATTCTTTCTATTTTTAGGCTTAATGTGCATTTTATTCGGCAGTAGGGGCAGTATGAATAAAACTCCAATCTTAAGAATTTTAATTTGCTTCCTTTAAAATGCTCCTGTCAGTAGAGACCTTGGGAAGTTGCTTGTACCATGCTCCTACCTTCAAAAATGCCACACATCTATGTAAACCCAGACAAATAAAACCCCAGAATATTCCCCTCACTTAGTTAAGTCCAGTATTTCTTTAAATATATGTAATTTCTAACTCATGATTCCTCTAAGGAGAATTCTCAGAATGACTTCACTGAATAATGCATTTCACAAGGAGTATTCTAGTATTTCACCAATTATCCCTCTGGCTTTTATGGCCAGAGTTTCTCTCACATTTGCCTGTGTAAATGCTACTCCTTTTTCATTTTAATTTAATTTTATTAGCTATCGCTAGCCTTTTATTCTACCCGAGAATACAAGTTTCCTTAAAGGCAGGGACCATATGTATGTTATAGTATATATGCCGTATAGAACACATAATATATATTATAGGATGACATTTTATGGGATGTATGCACACATACACACATCTAATATCATGAGCTCATTTAATCCTTTCTCACGAAGTGACTTCTCCTTCAACCTTACCACCAAGTGAAGAGAAGTTCTGAGATGACTAGGTTCTGCATAAGGTTACCTACATACATCATTATTTTTCCTCTGGCCATTTCTCTCAGTGTTTCAGCAAAACCTTACTTCCTGTTCTTAACCTTTTCAGGGTTATGCTTCCCTTTAAGAGTCTGAGAAAAGCCATGGGTCCTTTGCCAAGAGAAATGATCACCAATCCACTAAGACACTGTCTCCCACTCAATGGGGGTCAGAGACTCCTGACTGTCTTAAGCATCTATGCTAAGAACTGCTTCTCCACCGCGTCTTACTTAGTACACCTAATCTTTATTTGCTAAGTGGTTTCAGATATTTACATGATTTAAACAAGCAACCTGAGACTCTCCTTGCTTTCCCTTGTCCCATTAGCACAGAGGTCAGGCTACTGCTCAGAACAAAAATGATCATTGAGGTGAAATGAAGAGATAATTAAATTAGCACTATTTTCCCCGGAGAACCGTGCTTCACTGTCTCAAACAAGGTAAGCATGCTCACCTTTTGGTCTTGACTGTATGCCAGAATCCAGTCTTCTTGCTTGGGATGGAAAAGCAAGCTTTGAATGTAGAAGTTCAGCCGGTACTTTTGATAAGTTGCGCCTTCATCTGAGCTGATCAGTAAGCTGCTCTCAATCTCCGGGTCTGTGAGTAACATTATCTGCAGCAAAGAATTGTTGGAGAAAGAAAAAACAGAAAATTAAGTTTACAAATTTGCAAAACTTGAAAATTAGCTAAATTTTGACAAGGGAAGGACAGGGGCAGGTAAATAATGCTTGGCCAAACAGGGACCTTGACTCTGTCAGGCTTATTCTTCCATCTTGGATCAGTGCTACAAAAATATTTCTACAAAGAAATGAAGGGAGTAGGAGAAGCTGAAAGAATGAGGGATGAAATAGGTAACTGTATACTCTTCTCTTTTAGGGGACTCCTTGTTTTATTTCCAAGGTTGTTTCCTAAACCTGGCACACTTACCCTTCTTCCCTTCTTCCTACTGTGCCTTATGTACTTTCCATTTTGGGGGACTAAAAGACTGGTTATAGTCTGTTGTGGGAAAGGTGGAAGAGAAAGAGGATGGAGTCCATTGTTTTTCTTCCCTGCCTCAAATCCTTTCATTCCACTTCAATGATATCCTATGTCATCCTAACTTAGCCTGATTTTCTGAGTCTTAAGTCAAAGTGTAGGCTCTGAAGCTTTCTCTAGGAATTTAACAAAGGCTATTTTACCCCACCACCCTCATCACTTCTAGCCTACTACATAATTTACTTATTTATTTTGTTTCTTGTCTACATATCCTCTACTAAAAAATAAACCCTGTGAGAACAGAGATAGCTGTCTGTAGAGTTCACAGACGTATTTCCAGAAGCTAGACTAAGGTCCGGTATGTATGGTACACTGACAAATATTTGTCAAATGAATGAACGAATAGATGAGTACATAGAAAGATGCCCAGAACACTCTGAGATATGGATGGAAGCTTCACAACTTCTAAGTCCACATGAGTCTCTAAAACTCTCTGCAAGAAAAGTTGGTTGCTCTTCACAACCTGCACCACAGAAGAAGCTACAAATATGTAAATATTCACAGCTTCAGATGTTTTACACTGTCTCACTGGGATGCCCAATTTTGTCCAGAGGAATGGGATCAATCATAATAGCAGCAAGACGGAGGAGCTGCCCTCAAAACTACCTTAAATCCTCTCGTTTTATGCCTCCAGGAATCTGTGATAAATTACTTCATTCCCAACTCTCTGTGGGTCTCCTTTCACTCACTCAAAGTGTGCACCTAGTGTCTCCAGACAGGTGGCCTTAATGCTACCCATTGACCTCTTCCCCATCAACTTATTAATTGGCACTTTCTGAATTTGGTTCAGGGAAGCATGAAATATGTGCTTAATGTGTTGCTGTATGAAGAGAAATCACTGCAGCCCAGGGTTTAAAGATTACAAGCTGAGGATGCTGCACTTCCAAGAAAGAGAGAGAGAGGGGGGAATAGAGTCATATCGTAAAAGAGCAGAGTGCCAGGCAAACACATGAAGCTTTCTCAAGCATTTGGAGGCAATCATATTAAAGCCTCTGAACAGTTAGTGTCATCTTTGAAAGTGGTGTCCTGTCGCTGTAAATGACACAAAAGGATCGCATGTCAGACACTCTGCCCAAACTCTGTTTATGTTATCCAGTACGAATTTAAGGTTCCTTGCTGTTCTTTCAACATCCCCTTCTTGAAGAGGAGAAAAGGGATGTAATGGGGTGAAGGCAATGCTGTTGCTGTCAGCCACACTCCCGACAAGATGAAAAGTGCACACAAAATTGAAGACTAATTGCCTCTTGTACCATGTTCCAGGAAAGCCACTGCTCACCAACCATAAATTCTGACAAAGTTATGGATTTCTCTGTCTCACGTTCACCAAGCAGACAGCGTTCCCTCATCAGATGGCTGACAAGGAGCCATCAGGTAATCTACTAAGTACAAACTCATATGACTTCATTAAAATCTAGTGTATGCATTAAGCAAGTATATTTAGATGGCTCCTAATTCACAGGAATATTTCCAGATGAGTTCATATTTATGGGCACATAAAAGCTGTCATTTTTTGAATAACAAATAAGCCATCAAATGATCATATTGCTTTGTGTCTCTAACCACGATTAACAATAATGTAAAACAACCTTTTTGCACTACTGCCAAAAAGTCATTGCCATGATAATATGAAGAGGCTCAATTTTATAGAACATCTACTGTCTCAGGCAAAGTGATTCCCTCCCCTACTCTGATTTTCTAGTTCCCTGTTAGCCAGAATATGCTTTCCTCTTTTTCCACGAGAACAGATCTCCCCACCTGCTTCTCCTGGCAGAATACTTAATCAAAATAAAATTAAACACAATTATAAACTAGGCCTACAGAATATTCCCAAAGCAAGCTGATTTTTATCAATCACTTTAAAATATTGTTGATACTCATTTATACTCCACATGATCAGACTGCATAAGGCGTCCTACATCAGGTAATCTTGGGTGCGAGTGGCAGAGTAATGCACATGTTTCCCAACAGATGGAAACTTAATGTTATAAAAATAAAGCGACTCATATCCTTGGCTTTTTTTCTGGATATTGAAAATAGGCAGACTAAAATCCCACCTTCTCTCTGCAGCCCTCAGCTAAAACTCTCCATTTGAGAATTTGACATTTTGGAAATAATGGGAAATAGTGAGAAATTTCCCAGTGAGCTTTATAGGCATGTCTGTACTACAGAAACATTCCAGTGGTTTCTCTCTCAAATTTCTGCTCAGTTCTACCCAAAATGAACAGGTCAATCTGGATCCATTTTTCATTAGTTATTTTTCTTATTGCAGACACAACTCCATAAGACCTCTAGTAGAATTCAAAAGGAAAAAAAATTATGACCCTCTGTTTGTATTTCTTTCTACTTCTTTATCCACATCTCTATATCCTATTGTTGATTGAGAATTGATGATTTTTTTTTTTAAGTTTGACATTATGACCCAATTTTTTTTCTTTTATTTTTTGAGACAGAGTATCCCTCTGTCACCCAGGCTGTAATGCAGTGACACAATCTTGGCTCCCTTCCACCTCTGCCCTCTGCCTCCTGGCTAAATTTTGTATTTTTAGTAGAGTTGGGGTTCGCCATGTTGGCCAGGCTGGTCTTGAACTCCTGACCTCAAGGGATCCACCCACCTCGGCCTCCCAAAGTGATGGGATTACAGGTGTAAGACACTGTGCCCGGACCCCCAAATATTCATTTGTAACTGAGTCATAAACACACAAATGCACACACATTAACATGCATGACTGCAAAATCTACTCCAATTAATCACAACCTTCAAATTAATTAAATTATGATTGTTGTAATGGCTGAAACATAGTATGTACCTAATTATTAATTGAATAAGTAAAACCTTATTTAGTCTCAAATTCAAATTCTTTAATAATTTTGCTTCAAGTGAATTGATGTTTGTCCTATCATTTTATCAGTCATAAAATATAAATAAGCTAATAAGTAAAAAATTTAATGAGATCTAAATAAAAAAGGCTTAACATATTTGAGAAACAAATACTGTAAATAAGAAATGTGATCCAGTCTTTAGACATAGATGATATTTTTCATAAATGAATAAGTCATATCTTCTCACAAGATTTTCTACTTGGAAATATTTTCAAAATAGTAAGTTCAAATTAGCAAATACTCTTCAAAAACAATAGATTACATTTCTTAAAGATGCCTAACAATCCCTATTTTTGCTAGTTTAGAATGACTCTTTATCCCCTTCTGACTCTTCATGTGACTTTGAACAAATCATGTTTTGTTGTGTTTACTTCCCTGTATTCTGGAGTATGTTCTGGACAACAGAATTTTAGGAGGCCCTTCTAAAAGGCAGGAATCCAAGCTTTGCAGATTCCTAAAGTAAGCTCTCTAAAAAAGAGAGGTCATTGTTTGCCTGGAACAAAGCTTGTTCCATAGTAGGTCCACATATCACTGTAAATGAATAAAGGAATGGACTAATGAATGAATGAGTCCTTTTCATTCCTGCCTTCTGCTGCCTGGAGGCCAGGGACCCCTGTCACATTGGGAGTTCCATTCCCATTGAGCAAATCCTCGCTGTTCTACTTGAGGCAAGGAGGGTGAAGATAAGAGAAAGAGACTGCCTTTAACAGGAAAGTAATTATTCTCTGTTCAGATCCACCCATGAGTGATTACAGTCCGTTTACTTATGCCTTGCAGGGTGTGCCGACGCTGCACTGACTGCAGCTGCAGATGAATTGTTTCCACAAAAGGTCAATAATGGCAATACAGGATCCTGCCACCCAACTCCAAGCAATCATTCATCACCCACTTCAGGAGGAGGAAGAAACTTTATTTGCTTTTCCTAGAGCAGACAAATGAACATGAAATGCAATTTATAGATTTCAAATACGTCACTTCTCTCTTTTTTTTTGGTATTAGTCCTTCTGACAGCTCGGTGCCATCAAAAATTAAACGCACTTTCACTGTCTTTGACTTGCGCCAGATTCAACATATGGCTACAGGAAGTAATTTTACAAAAGGTTGGCAGGCAGCTTTCTGATCCTTCCAAGTTGTCGTCTACTGTGGACCTTCTTCCCAGAGGAATGCTGCTACTATCTAGTTTTCCAAATTCTTTTCCTAGATATGTTGTTCTTGGAATTCACCATTTACTGGTTTATGTGGCATGGAGTTAATAAAGAGTTCTTCAGTACCTCTGGGCATATACTTTTTCGTACCATTTCTTTGGTCCTAATGGAAAAAGTATTTATTTTGTGTGTTGTTCATTATTTGTTTGCTCATTTGACTACTCCTTATCATAAATGGGCTGGAATCAAGCAGAGGTAATGGGCTGCTGTGTGGATATCTCTCTTGCTTTACTCAGAGCTTAATTCAGCTCCAGATGCCCATATCACAGGTGCATAATAAATGCTTTTCATAATGATAATGACAACAGCAAAGCAGAACAGCAACAGCAGCAATTAGGCACTCCAGTTATCTACTGCTACCCACTTTACTCAAACAGAAATATTTCTCTCTATAAACAGCATGGAAGTCTATTTGCAAACCTCTGACCTCAAAACTGAAAACAAATTAAGCAAAATGTAATCAGAGAAAGTAAGTCATCTGCTGACCAATGAG